ATAAACTACCAAAGAAGATGGGGGGCCCGAGAAGTTTAACTTTCCCATGTTAATTCGAGAACTTGGCTACAAGTTATGCATTGGCCAATTCGGGAGCTAGTGTAAACCTTCTGCCTTACTCATTTTTCAAAAAGTTGAATCTTCTAGAACCGAGGCTTATTCGTATGAAAATTCATCTAGCTAACAAGACAGTGACATTTCCAAGAGGGATATGCGAGCATCTACTTATGAAAGTCGACAAATCCGTGTTTCCTATAGATTTTATTGTGCTAGATATGGAACAAGATTATTAAGTGCCGCTAATCCTTGGAGGACCGTTTCTAAGCACCACTCGAGCCCTAGTGGATGTGAGAGAGTCCAAACTCACTCTATGGGTAGGAGAAGATGTCGTCACCTTTGGATTTGATCGATCAATGTAACATTCAAGATCTAGTGATAATGCAATCTCCTTGGTGGGTATGGTTGATGAGTTGTTAGAAAAGGAATTAGCGAGTTGGCAAGGATATAGTTCAATGGAATTCACGTTATTATTAGAGGGGGACGTTGGTGCAAATAAAGACCTACAAGAGTTGGAGAAGTTGATTAAAGGAATTATAGTTGAAAAATGTATAAAAAAACTCTGAAGAAGAAACATGTCGTGTGTAACACCTGCGTTTCCAGGCTAGGTATTATTGTTGATGTAATAGTCTAGGTTAACCCTTGTAACTCTTTTTGAAGTATTAATAATGAAATATTTGAGTATTATGTGAATTATGTGTTTATTTTCTTAACTATTATACTTTAATGAATTAAGAATAAAATAAGCGTCAAATTTAAAGTGTGAGATAAGCCCGATATCTTTGCATGAAGATGTAGTGGTAGAAACAAGGATTCCAGAGATATAAAGAATGTTGAAATCCGAGTTATAACGAAGAAGTTATGACATGTCGAAGTTTCGCGACAGAACTGGCGACGCTGAATGACGTAAAAAGTAAAATATATGTTAGAGTGATATTTAACCTTAGTGATATCAACGAAAGTCGTAGAGTTCGTTAAACCGAGAGCGTGCATAAAAAGAACGCCCAAATCTAACATCATATGAGGAAGTTATGATTTTCCGAAGTTTCGACTCAGCAGTATGCAGCCCGAATACTCGTTTTGAGATCAAGCGGTTTTTAGCCGAAACAATCTAAACGAGAATCGAAGATCTCGTTAATAGTAGTGAAACGTTAAAAAGACAGGAGAAAATGGATGTCAAATGAAGATGTTATTAATTTATAACGGAGTTTTCCTGTCCCGGCCTACTAAAAATAAATAAATAATAATAAAGTCAAAATTAGCCGACGGAGTCTAAATGAAAGTTGTAGAGTATAGTCTCACCTACACGGAGATATAAATAACATCGAAAACGGAGTTCGTATGAGGAAGATATGAATTTTTGAAGTTTATTAAATAATTAAAATATTAAATTTAATTATAAATTCCGATATTATCCAAAGGGGGGGGGGGGGGGGAGTCAGCGACCCTATCCGGGTTACACCCAGCGTAACTAGGATTTACGCCCAGCGTAAATCGAGGATCCAACCCCCTATAAAAGGAAGTCGAGGCTGCCGAGTTTCAGTTGCTATTTTCTTTCCTTCTCTAGCGTTTTTACCTTGTTTTGCGTGCAAGAAATATTCCGAAGCCCCGGTATCATTCCTGAGACCCAAAGCTAGTCCTGAAGCCCCAAAGATTCCGAGAAGTAAAATTTCCGAGCCGAAGCTCTGCCCACGAGGAGCCCGGTTTTTGTGAAGGTCTTCCAGATCTGCCGAAGAATGCTACTTATACAAACCGTAGTACTGTCCGATCATCTTCTGATCAAGTGAGTGTGTAGTCACTTTGATATATATATATATATATATATATATATATATATATATATATATATATATATATATATATATATATATATATAATCATTAATTACCGTTAGGCCAAATTCCCCTTTTTATATATATATATATATATATATATATATATATATATATATATATATATATATATATATATATATAAAAAGGATGGTTTGTGTTCAAACTGAAAACTCATACATAACCATAACAACCTTTTTTGTAATTTACTTTAATAAATTTAATACTAACAGTATTATAAATATATTCTTGATATTAATGAATTTGATGATTATAGTATTATAAATATAATGTCATTATGTTTTTAATGATATAACTAGGATTTTACATGGTGTATGTTGCGATGATAATAATAGATTTACATAAAATATAAAATAACTCTTTCAATGGCATTATAAGTTTTGGAGGACTTGGGTTGTTAAACCACAAATATCAAGGATCAAAATCATACATAAAAACTTAGGAGGACTTAAGTTGACAAAACACAAAAATCAGTGACCACATAGATGTACAAGAAAAATGCTTAAATATAAGCACGAAAACCTAAAATTTTACGTAGAAACATAGATAAAACCGGTGGATATGAAAATCAAATTATATATAGTATGGAGGGTAAACATGAAAGTTTAGAAAATGAAGGGTGTATAAGGTTGCGACGATAATAATATATTTAAGAAGGAAACTAAGGGGTGAAAGTGATATATTATACAATAAAAATCAGATTATATACAAATTATATATACTATGGGGTAAACTCGAAAGTTAAAAAATGGAAGGGATGGAAATGACAATTTAAAAAGTTTTTAAAAGTTAAAGGGTGTAAAAGCATAATCTTGAAAAGTTGGGGATATAAAGTATTCATATACAAACTAAAAGGAGAAAAGTGATAGAAATAAATAGTATAGGGACTAAATATTGAAAAGAAAAGTAACCACCGACTTTCCTTTTTAGTGTTATATATATATATATATATATATATATATATATATATATATATATATATATATATATATATATATATATATATATATTGTTAGGCTAGATAACATTCCTTAACATCTTGCAACATTATATTTTTAGATAACTTCTCGTTCTTAACATTTGGTATAGAGTGATAACACTTCTAATACTTTATTTTTTTTTCAAATTTAGTTAAATATTATAACCATCAAATTTCAAATGCAATGAGATAGAGAGAAACTTCAATCTATACCATTTAAAGTGTTTCAAGAAGCATAAAATGAATGATTTTGTCAATTAGACATTTTACCACTTTATATATATATATATATATATATATATATATATATATATATATATATATATATATATATATATATAAAAGTAATTTCATCTCATTGGAACCCATTTAATCATAGAACATCAAAAGATATGGGTTCATGGATGCTTGCAAACTCGACAAAACTAGAAGGGATCGAATTTAATCCTTAAAGTAAGAAGAATTGATCGATCGATCGTCAAATCCGCAAACATCACCGTGAAATCATCTAAATCCAGCACACATGCTCCACTCTTATTGCTCTCCAAAACATTCAACAACCTCTTGAAGAAAATCACGTCGCACCTCCTCTACCGATATTAGATCTACATCGACACCTTTCTCCAATCACAACCAAGTTCCTGCTTCTCTCTCCTATCGTTACCTCCGTAGTGTCTTCTCCTTGGCGAGTCCCCTAGCAAGTGCTAGGGGGCGGTGTTCTATATCCATAAAGAGCCTTAGCGAGGGTGTATAGCGAGTCCACCTCTTCTAGCCTTATATTCTTTGACGATAAATTTAATATTTTAAAATGTTAAAGTTAAAGTGAAAACTATATTGTGTTTTTATGGGAAAAAACTCTTTTAAAAAACAAAAGTATAAATGGAAAGTTCATTAGATCATCCGTTATACCCACCACATACCATATATGTGGTGGGTGCCACATCAGCACCACATTCTTCTACCACTAACATGGGATACCTACCACTAACTTACTACTTCACCTTATTTTTTTTATTTAAATTAAATTCAAAAATACATTAAAACACAATAACATATTTTTTTTAATTAAATTTAATTCAAACACACAATAAAACATATATATATATATATATATATATATATATATATATATATATATATATATATTATATTATTAAACTAGCTTTTTATTTAATAAAACAAGATTACATTAAATTAAAACTAACAACATTAAAAAAAACATAAAAAAACCTTAGAAAATACAACCACAAACAACTTAAAACTACTTTTTAAACCTTATTTTACTCACTACTTTTTAAACCTTATTTTACTCACTACATTTTGGGCACTCTCTTAATATTCGCAAAACTTCAACGTGTTTAAACGATGTGTGTTTCGTGTCTTTATATTGGTTTATGGCCACCGCAAACGGGTCGTTTTCATGTACGTTGTTTATAATAAAGTTATAAATACCACTGAATTCAATGCATTTAACTCTCATATCGCAATACTTCGAACATATTTCATCAACACTACGATTTTGGCAACCCATTAATTCATGAAAAATGTTTCCAACCTTTATCCAAAAATTAGGACGCGTTACTTAGTCTTCTAAAACCGCTACTCATGCTCGTGCTAAGTTTTCTTCTTCATTTTCTCCCCAATTCATCCTTTTAGGAAACATTGGTTTTGGAATAATGTAAAAGAAATATGTGATTTTGTGAGAAAAGAAAGAAGAAAGTGAGTGAATATGTTTAATAGAAAGTGTGGTATTTATAGAAGAAAGTTAATATGTTTGAAAGGTAAAAAAGAAAAAATAAATAAATAATACCATTGCAATCCAAAAGTAGCCGTTGCAGTATCGAGCCAATAGAAATGCCCGTTTGATTTCGTGGTACACACAACGAACGAACACGACCATGATCGACCATGACCGGCCGAGACGATGTGCATGGTCGTGATCGTGGTCCACGTATATCACGATCGACCTCGTGCTATGTATACCGTATGGCCTTACATATTGGAGAGGTTAAAATAAAATTTTGATGATTGATATGATAAGGGGTATAGTTGGAAATTGAGGGTGTGCGCATGCCTATAAGTTCAGCTTAATCGTATACTAAAATAAGCACACAATAAAAAAGGCAAAGCAAAGTAAAACACTAAAATGATGGGAGATCGCGATGAGCAGCATGAAGAAGGTCGACGCTTTGACATCTGCACTAAAGCCGGTCTGGAAACTGGTATTTCAAAACCCAGGTCGGATTTGTTGCTAAATTAATAATCTTTTGATCAATTTTTCGTTTTCGAAAGTAACCCGATGTCAAAATAGTGTGACGTGATCACAATTTTCTATCGTGACCAGTTAAACATTTGGTTCGTGTTTCGTTACTCACTAATAAGAAACTGAGAAAAGGGAATGATTCTCAATTTCAATAGTTGTGTGATTACTGGGGTTTGGATTACAGACTAGAACGTTAGACAAGTTGTTCATGCATGACATACAACTACGATGATTTTGTAACATACTCCATATATATATCAAGGTTGAATTTTATAACTCATGATAGGTTTGACCTTTATTTTATTCAACACACTGTCTGTCACAGTTATATTTCTTATTTACGTAACTTTTTTTGGGTAGTTTTTCAGTTCTTAAACACTTTATAAACTGTTTGATATGAAATTTCTTGGGATATTTATTCAATGATCAAACATTGTACAGAAGCGTCGTCCACAAAGATGAGGATTATCACCGAGGTGTTCACGTATGGATTTTTGCTGAAAGTACACAAGAACTACTTCTACAAAAACGTGCATGGCCTGGATTATGGGATATCTCTAGTGCAAATCATGTATCTGCTGGAAGCACATCCCTTGTCACTGCCAGGTAGATTATCAGATGCTACCGAAACTCTTTTTTAAAGTGTGCTATTATAGGTACCCAATTATATTTATATGTGACACCCCATTTTTAAGTCGTGACTATTACAGTTTAAGAATTTCACAGTTTTTCCTCACCTTTAGAGCTAGGTACTTTATATTTCCTGTCCCGAGACACAAGTCCATACATACATGTACTATTAGCCGAAACTTTGTGAGATCATGATTTTCTTAATTTCTTTGAACATATAATAATAAACTGTAAAATATGTAATACATAGACATAAAAAAACGTTCATGGACATGACATGAAACTAATTCAATGTATGGTTATAGTGAATAAATTACTCTTAACCGACATAACATGAATTCGATGTCCTGAAGATAACATGATTCGTCGTCCCAAGCATGTATCTTCATAATCAGATTTCAGTATCCACGCACGTGAAACAATGAAATAATTTCATAAACAAGCATGAATAAAATTCGGATCCTTGTATGAAACAACTTGCAAATTAAGCATCATAATAGCTCATGAAAATAACTGTAAATTTGATATGTATCTCAGTTATTCAAAATTCATGAATCTCACATGTTTGTCGAGGATATGGACCCGATCTATGTCAAAAGTTCTCCTACATTGTTAATAACTCCTAGTAAATATAGTAACTTAATATACAACTAGATGTATCTCTAAACACTCATCGGTTTATCGTCCTCAAGTTCGTAAATAATCCAAAAGTCTATATAATTCGTCATAGTTGGCAAATCATAAAATTATTGTATTTGACTAAATATTTTTCTCAAATAGTTTTAATACATTGATCCTCTAATAGTGCTTGTTGGAATGTATATTTTCAGTGATCAATGTATTACTATAATTTTTTATTATTTAATTGGCAATAAAATATTTCTAAAATATATCCTTAGCAAAATGCAAGTAAAACTTTTATGTATATATATATATATATATATATATATATATATATATATATATATATATATATATATATATATATATATATATATATATATATACATGTTCAGATTCATTTGAGACCATTCTAATTTTGTGAGACCGTGAAACCAAATCTAAAAATAATTTTAAAATTCAAAATAAATGGAAAAATCCAAAAATTCTTTTTTTAAATATTATTTTCAGAACTTGAATTAACTAAAAAAAATCCCCCTTTTTTTTAAAAAATACGTGAAATATTCTAATAGAATATTACACTGACATATTCTAAAAAGTAATTTTAAAAAGCAAAATAAATGGAAAAATCTAAAAATTCATTTTTTAAATATTATTTTCGGAACTTGAATTAACTAAAAAAAATAAAAAAATCCCATTTTTTTAAAAATACGTGAAATATTCTAATAGAATATATTACATTGTACATATTCTAAAAAATGATTTTAAAATGCAAAATAAATGGAAAAATCTAAAAATTCCTTTTTTAAATATTATTTTCGGAACTTGAATTAACTAAAAAAAATAAATAAAAAAAATCCCGTTTTTTTTTTAAAAAAATGCGTGAAATATTCTAATAGAATATTACACTGTACATATTCTAAAAAATAATTTTAAAATGCAAAATAAACGGAAAAATCCAAATATTCTTTTTTTAAATATTATTTTCGGAACTTGAATTAACTAAAAAAGATTAAAAAAAAATACGTCTCACGGTCTTAAAAAATATAGGTGGTCTCAAATGAACCTAACCCTATATATATATATAATATATATATATATATATATATATATATATATATATATATATATATATATATATATATATATATATATATATATATAAAAGGTAGGTTCAACTATTCTAACTAACTATTATGGGAATATCGTACGCTATGAAAATGATAAAGAAAACATGTTGTTTGATAATATAAATACGTTTAATCTTACATAACTATTGTCATTAACACGCATTCTCACTAATTAAATCGTCTATAAGGTTATTATACATTTATTATTATTATTTTCATTTCTATTAGAATGTTATCAAAATGTTTTATTGGATCGTATTCTGTCAGGATGAAAATGAGTGAAAAAAATGTGTGAGAGCAAAAAAAATAAAAATTATAATAAGCGAGAATACATGAAAACGATGATATTTTTGTAAGGTTGAACGTATTTGCATTGTTAAACAACTTATTCTTTTAGTAATTCTCATAGCATACGATATCCGCACAATAATTAGTTACAACAGAATAACCTAAGCATATATATATATATATATATATATATATATATATATATATATATATATATATATATATATATATATATATATATATATATATATATATCGTCCTTAATAAATGAAAGTTTTTTTTGCCACATGTCAATCTCTCATGAGTTTTGACACTTATCATTTTATGGTATTTTTGAAATAAATATTATCCACTTGTCAATTTTTGATTTGTTTCAAATTTTAAAATTAAAATCATAGTTATATATGTAAAGTATTAATTATCATATATATGATATTAAATTTCAATAAATATGTTGTTTTTTTTTTTTTTAAAAAAAGTTGTACATTAAAAAATATTTTTTGTCTACACTTTAATTTAACGTTTACTCTTTTTTTAAATCAACCCGTGGAATATACGGGTCTCACAATTAGTGTGTGTGTGTGTGTATATATATATAACCAAAATAAGAAAATTATAATTCTTTTTCTTTTTTTTTTATGAAAATTCCGTTAACACAGTACATAAATCCAGAAACAACCACTTTTTATAATATCATAACTTCAACACCATAATTAAATATATTTTGTTGCGGTAATTAAGTAAACGAAAAATAAGAGACACACACTCCAAATTCTTTCACTAGATTAAATGGTGCATTTTTTCCTGAACGCAAACTCTGCCGGTAGTAGACTAATTACAAAACAGGTCCTTGCAGTTCCAATTTAATTAGGACTAATTACATAAATGGTCTCTAGGTTTCCTAGATTCTGGTTTTTGTCATTTAACATTTTTTTCGTATCATAATTAAGTCCTATGGTTTAAATTTCCTATAGGTTTGGTCACTTACCCATATGAAACGATTTTTATATTTTTTTTCATTTTATATTATATTTTCCTTTAACTAATTTTAATATAAAAAAAAAAAAACAAAACAAAACAAAACAAAACAAAAACAATACTCCACCCCATCGCATCCCAACCCACACACATATGCGAGTCGCTTGTGATCATTCTATCACTTCTATTTACTTCGGCTATGTTTTGCGTACTAGCTGTTAGATGAAAAAACTATCTGATAGTTGGGAAGCTAACTGATAAAAATGATGTTTGATAAAACTAATTGAAATTAAAACTAGCTGAAATATATAAAATATATAAAATGACATTTAAGAGTATTTGTTTTTATAATTAATTAAGAGATATATTTGGAAATTTTTAAAAAAACTCTTAAAAAACTAGTCTAAGTAGCTTTTCAAAACGCTAGCTTATAGGCTATTTTTTGGTTTGCCAAACACAACAACATAAAAAAAAACTCGAAAAATAAACTAGCTGTGACGTGTCAAACATGACCTTCAAGTCCACCGCCACCTCCAACAACATATATCCATTTAAAACTATAATTAAGATAACTTGTTCACTAATTTTAAACGAACATATCTTAATTTTTTAATTTAAGAGCTGTAAAATATATTGTTATCCTTTATATCAATTAACAAAAATATATAATCTAAAATAAAGAAGGTTTAAATATATTGTCCTTCTAAATTGAAAAACTAAACTATTCCAATAGGGATAAAACTGATACAACGTAAGAAGAAAAATATATTCTAAAATTACGTATCTTGTTTTTATTTTAGTGCCAAAATAAATTTTTTTTTTTTGTTTCATTTTAGATCCAAAACTATACATTAACGTAATATATTTTCAATTAACTATAAACCATATAAAAAGTCATGTATAGCTCAAAATTAAAACTTATATAATATATAAACATAAATTTTATTTCTTTAATATCTCAATAAATTATAAATACACAAAATAGAAATATTTAGACCTAAATAAGATAATAAACTGTAATGAAAAAAATATTTTAATCATCATAAATTCCGTACTAATGATTTTTTACTGAAAAAAATATTAGTCTTGTGACAATTTCGTTAAGTCTTATAAACGTAAATGATCATAAGTGCAAATTACATTTTTATAAGGGGTACATGAATTTGTCATATTAATTCTTAATTTTTAAAATGTTGATATGTTAGAAGTTTGAATCAAAGTAGGTCCTTTATATATTCTTTTTGAAGTTTAGTTTCGGCCCCCTGACTATAATAAGATATGTGTTTTGCCCGGTATTGGTTAAATAACTTAACATAAAGGAATGATTATAAACAAACATAAACCAATAACATAAACATAAAGGAATGATTATAAACAAACGTAAACGAATAACATAAACATAATAACTAAATATCATGAACCTAAAATGAAATAAGAATAAATAAAACAAGAAAAGTAAACGAAATATTTAATATAACTCATGTGGTTAAGCCATATTAATAGGATAACCAAAGCCCGAATAATAAGAATGATGATTATTAGTTGAAAAATAAAATAATATAAAATACAAAATATTATTAAAGAATTAATAATAATAATAATTAATATTAAAAAAATGAAAACATTCATAGAAAAAATCTAATAACAATAATTATAATAAAAGAAAAAAAACAACAAAAATAAGAATAAGCAAAAGACAATAAAAAAACAAAATAAGTAGTGGTGGGGTCCAAATAACCCAGCTCACAATGAGCAAAAATCATAATCACAAACGAAATGCAACTCACAAAATGATTGTCAATACTTGAACCCTTGACCATTGAACCAACTTAGATGAGAATCTTTATTCATATGCTATATGTGTCAAATGTTTATTTTACACTACAAATTTATGGCTATATGATTTGAAAATGTTGTATGATTTCAGGAGAGGGCTTCTAGAAGAGCTTGGTCTAAGCCTTCCAAATGATGCTTTTGAATTGCTATTTGTTTTCCAGCAAGAATGGTACACCGTCTATGTAATTAGTATGTTTGTTTCATGTATGTGTAGGTCACCAAATGTGAAAACATGAACCTTTTGTGATACATGAAATCTTAGATCATAACAAATTTTCATAGTGAACATTTTTTTTAAGATTACTACAATTGTTTTTGAAGTGCTATTATTGACTTTGAATTTGGTTGTAGTGATACAAATGGTGAGAAGTTCATCAATAATGAATTTAATGATGTTTATCTTGTGACAACACTAGCCCCAATTCCGTTGGAAGCTTTTACTCTTCAGGTAATGTTTTGTTTAATTATACCAAAGTAGCAAATGGGACATGCATGCCCATCTATACTTGTAAACCTTACATGCTCATTTTTTAACAATTAGTTATGTACATAAATTCTTTTTCCATGTAGGAATCTAAAGTTTCAGCTGTCAAATATATCTCAGTTCAAGAGTATAAGCACCTACATGTTAAGGGAGACCCTCAATATGTACCCTACAATTTTCATGGACAATATGGTCAACTTTTTGACATAATTACCGAAAGGTATATATTTATGCATTCATAGAAGCACTTTCGTATAGTTATATGCATACATAAATAGTTTTCAAATCATAATTCACATCATGTATCATAATATTGAGTTAAAGCATGAATTTGGAATTCGACATAAAGGAAATATATTTTGAACTAAAGCATATTTATATTATGTTACCACCAAGTTGGATGAAATTTAAATGAAATCATTAAATTAATATTGGGCTGGAAATCTTTATAGGTACCAAGACAATGTCGAAGCAAAATGTTTAATTCTGCAAAAGAAGCTTAATCGTTATGCTTCTATCTCAGTTGATGCAGAGGTTGTGTTTCCTTTTTTGTTTTTTTGTTTTTTTTTTTTCAGTATTGATTAAAATTTGAATTAGGAATTTAATTAAATTTTTGTATGGCAGTTGACCGATCTCAATGAGGAGGACAAGGAAGTTCTTGTTTTAATCATTCAAGCTGCGAGATTAATGGATGATATATTCTATAACCAGGTCTAATTTATGAACTTGTACATATATACATAGTTGTTTATAAATATGTAACTACTTTATTGCATGATGACCGATTCACATGCTAGTTTAGATAATAACAAATTAGTAGATTTCATTTTCCTTTTATTTTTTTCTTTGAATCAGGCTTGGTACAGCAATGCATCTTTAAGGGAATGGTTAAACCAGCAAAGTCAATTATCTGAGTTTGACATGTTAAAATTGAAGTATTATTTGATAAATAAGTGTCCATGGTAAGATTATGCTCATATAAGTATTGTAGTGTCTCTCCTATTAGATATTTTCATATAGTAAATCCACCACTTTGTAAAAATTATGTCATTTAATCAGAAAAACAAAATTAACCTCTATTTCTTATATATCAAAGTTAAGTTGATTTTTTTGATAGGTCGTCTCTTGATGAAGATGAAGCATTTTTGACAACTGCAGACTCTGCAGTGAAATTGCTTCCAGAAGCAACAAGGAAGGTGGTTGGTTGGAAAGGTCTAGAATACAAAGCTGCATTTCCCCTAGTGAAACCACCTGGTGCCAGCTTTTACCCTCCAGACATGGATAAAATGGTAATTTCTTTCTATGTTACCATTCTACTTTGATATAATTTTTTATTAAGGCATAATACTTTGAAACGTATTTCCACCTATAGCATGTACTTTCAAAGTATTTCTTATTAGGGGCATTTAATTTTGAAAAATCTATTCAAGTGAAAATTGATTTCTATTCAGACAAAATTGTTATACTTGGGTTAATTTTTCAAAGTATAATTCTATAATAGGAACAAATGAAAGTAGGATGATATAATAAACAAATAAATGAAAATACATTAAGGTATTTTGTGATAGCATCCTACTTTAACTTCTTTCTATTTTTTTTCTTATTAAGGCATTTCAAATTATTTCTTATTAGGGCATTATACAGTGAAAACATACCAAATTATAACAATGAAAATGGTTTTGTTTTTGGATGACATTGCAATAACTAGATAGATTTTTCAAAGTAAAATACTCTAGTAGGAAGGAGTGAGAGTAAAATACTATGATAAACTATTTAATAGAAGTACATTGCTTTTTCTTGCATTTTGTTTATTACAGTATCCTACTTTCATTAATTTTAATTTTAACAATGTAATTTAATTTTATTTCTTATTAGGGCATGATACTTTGTAAAATCTATCCAATTAAATCAATAAACATTACTTCGTATGTAATTAGCATTACTACAACTTGGTACAATTTTCAAAGTACAATGTTATAACAGGAAGAAAAGAAAGCATGATGCAATAATAAACAAGTAAATGAAAGCAAATTGATATATCTTGCGTTTTGTATATTTTAGCATCATGGCTTCATTTATTTCTATTTTAGCATTGTACTTTCAATTATATCTTATTAGTGCATTATACTTTTAAATTATTTCTTAATTAGACATTATACTTTGAATAATTACCCACTAATAGTAGTGAACATTTCTTAATATTTTAGGTGACATTGTTATAAATGGTTAGAGTTTTCAAAGTACAAATGTTGTAATAGGAAGAAATGAAAGTAACATGATGTAATAAAAAAAAAGTAAAAGTGTATTGCTATATCTTGCATTTAACACTTTCTTAATCTTGGCAAGGAATTCGAATTATGGGTGAAAGGGCTCTCGGATGATGAAAAGAAAGACGCAACAAGCTTTTTCAGTGTTATTAGAAGGCATAGTGACTGTCATTCCAATAATATAGTAGTTAGCAGTAATCCCACAAGTGATCTCTATATCATCCCGTTCTCTCAAGAATATTTTTCCTTTCTTGCAAAAGCAGCTGAATTATTGCATAAAGCAGGGGATTTAACCACTTCACCTAGGTATTCTATACATTTTATTAAATCTTATTATATCTGTTAGTTCATACGTACAAAGTTAAGTCACATTTTTGTAGTTTGAAGAGACTATTACATAGCAAGGCCGAAGCTTTCCTCTCAAATGACTATTATGACTCTGATATAGCTTGGATGGAATTGGTCAGTGTACAATTCACTTTATTGTATATCAATATTTTTGTAACTTGAGTTGTTTTTCTTATGTTAAATATGGTTGTAATTGTTTTTCTTTCATCCTCTTAAGGATTCCAAGTTGGATGTTACTATTGGCCCATACGAGACTTATGAAGATGTATTATTCGGATACAAGGTATTGTTTTTTATTCTTTTGTGCATCGTTCACTATGATTCATGGTAAAATAAAAATTCATCACCAAGGTTTTTGTGATTTTTCTTTAGGCGGCGTTTGAGGCATTTATTGGAATTCGGGATGATAAAGCAACTGCTCAACTTAAAATTTTTGGGGATCATTTGAAGGTACATTGTTGGATTAACTAATGATTAATATTACTTTGATTTTTTAGTTTATTTTACAAGTCCTTAAGGCTGGGGAGAAGGGGTGATGTGGGCTAGCTCAAGGGTTGCTGAAAGCATAACCCTTTATTACTTTTCAACTTTGTTAGTAATACTTTTATTTAATTAAATAATTAAAGTACATGTAGGACTTGGAGCAAAATCTTCCAATGGACGACATGTACAAATCAGAAGATGTGACATTTGCACCTATTCGCATCATCCAACTTGTTTATAATTCAGGGGTAAGTTAATGTGACAAATGACGTGAATGCCCTCATTATAACCAGATAGCCCTAGAAAGCTTGTATAGTTCCACTTGTACATGTATGTGTTTTGTGAAAGTATTTTGTTAAAATATGAATTTCATTTATCATGTTAATGCAGGATGTGAAGGGACCACAAATTCTAGCCTTTAATCTTCCGAATGATGAGCGTATTGTAAAAGATCGTGGTACATCAATGGTCATGTTGAAGAATGTTTCTGAGGCAAAGTAAAGTGAACAATCCATGATTATATACTTAAATATATTTGAAATCATAAACATATGTGTTTATGATTGATTATATAGGTGTTAAAAGATAAATTGTGATAATGATATGATACTTAAACTTTTTTTCTATGTAGGTTCAAGCTAATTCTTCAACCTATAGCCGAGTTGTGTATTGTAAAGGAGCAACAAGAGCTAGTTGACTTTGACTCTTTTTTCACTCACACAATTTGTCATGAATGTTGTCATGGTATTGGACCACATACAATAACACTCCCTGGTGGTCAAAAGTCTACTGTGCGATTGGTTAGTTTTTCTAATTTAATCAGGAACTGAATGGAATCGTTGATTCCTTTATTTTTTTTCAATATGATATAATTGATTTTTTGTTTCCTCAATTAAACAGGAGCTACAAGAACTTCACACGACTCTTGAAGAAGCTAAAGCTGATATTGTTGGCTTGTGGGCACTTAATTTCCTTATTTCAAAGGTCAGTTAGTAAGGGGGTATAGTTCTCACTATCATATCGTCTTCAATAGTTTTCATGTTTGATTTTTTTATGGGGTTGACCAGGATTTACTTCCAAAGACCCTTGTAAAGTCCATCTACGTTTCTTTCCTTGCTAGCTGTTTTCGGACAGTACGTTTCGGCTTAACGGAAGCTCATGGGTAACGCAACTAATCAGTAAATTTATCAACTTTTCATCCATATATATATATATATATATATATATATATATATATATATATATGGCATGTTATATTTATATTTAGAGTGATGGATTATTATAAATGTATATCAGTAAAGGACAAGCACTGCAGTTTAACTGGCTACTAGAGAAAGGAGCGTATGTTTTGCATCCTGATGACACATTCTCCGTTGACTTTGATAAGGTGTGATTCCTTAAACTTTATGTTTTTTAATCAAAATATAATTTTCGTTTTAATAAATTGTTTCATGTGTTTGTAATAGATTGAAGGTGCGGTTGAAGGCTTAAGTAGGGAAATACTTACGATACAAGCCAAAGGAGACAAAGATTTTGCACAGAAGCTTCTGGAAAAATATGGTCAAATGACAGAACCTCTCACCACTGCTTTAGGAAAATTGGCAAATGTTGAGGTAAAATTTGACTTATATATATATATATATATATATATATATATATATATATATATATATATATATATATATATATATAGGTAAGTTCAATTGAGAAAATAAAAAAGGTTGAATATGGGGGAATCATTCTTAGTCACTAATTTATTTTTACTGCAAAAACCTCCATTGTACTGGTGGAAATGGGAAAAGAATACACATGTGTTTTCCAACAAAACATATGTCCTTAAACTATGTTAATCATTACTTTAATATATACAAAAACATAGTTTTTTTTTTAAGTTTTTTTTAATTTTTAAGGAGCTATTTTTATTGAAAAAATATTTTTAAATATATCAAAATTCATAATTTTTTATTCTTTTCAAATAGATATCTATATTGATAAGTTTTAAGATAAATTAAAAATTTTATTTTTTAAAGTTTTAGCTAGTGTTATTAATAAGAGAATAGGAATGCATTAGATTTTTACCACTTTACATTCGTTATTCACTTATGAATTAAAAAATATATTTAATCTTTTTTTACACTTTAAGTATCATTTATACTACTTATTAATATATGAATAACAAATTAACTGGAACAAAAATCTGATAAATATTTTATTCATATATGACAATAAAATATGACGACAACTAATACATGTTTTATTCATATATAAATATAATATATGACGAAAGATGATGTAAAAAATATATCTTAAGTAAAAAAAAACTTTATTACGTGGTTATATGTATATATGAACGATACTCAAACTAAAAAAAAAAAAAAAAAAAAAAAAAAACCTTACGTTTTATTCATATGTGAATAACGAATGTACTGTAATAAATAACAAGAGTGAAACTCTATAAAAAATAATTTTTCTATTTTATCTTAAAATTATATCAATATGAATATCTATTTATAGAGAACAAAAATGTATGAATTTTGATAAATTTAAAATATTTTTTCGATAAAAATAACTTTCTAAAAATAAAAATAAAAAACAAAAAGAAGTATGTTTTTGGGTATACTAAGGTAATGATTAGCATAGTTTAAGGAAACATGTTTGGTTGGAAAACTCATGTGTATCCGTTATCTATTTCCGCTGGTACGCCTAAGTCATTTTGCGGCAAAATAAATGTATGACTGAGATTGATTTCCTAATTCTCAACTTTTTTTTTTCAGTTGAACCCTCATCTCTCTCTCTCTCTCTCTCTCTCTATATATATATATATATATATATATATATATATATATATATATATATATATATATATATATATATAACTTTAATTGATTTACCTCCTTTTTATGTGTACCCATTTGATGAATTTACAGGTTCCTGTTGATATAGCACCAAATTTTCCAGTTGTTACCAAATTACTACACAACAATTAAACAATTGTTGTAGTGTTTCTTGATCTTGGATGTGATAATGGCTTTCTTTTTGGAAGTACATTCAGAATGGCTCTCATTGTTTTAATAAGGGTAAAAATTGTGTAGTGTTGTTATGTATTGTAAACTATATAATAAAATGGCTTTGTTCTTGGAAGGGCATTCATAATAGCTCTCATTGTTTTAATAATGGTACAAATTCTGTAATATTGTTTTGTATTGTAAACTATATAATAAAATGGATTTGTTATTAGAAGTGCATTCACACTGGCTCTCCTTGTTTTGATAAGGGTACAAATTGTGTAATATTTTTGTGTTGTGTGTTGTAAACTATATCATAAAATAGACTTGTTCCTTAAAGTACATTCACAATGGCTCTCATTGTTTTGATAAGGGTAAAAATTTTGTTTTAATGTTGTGTATTGTAAACTATATCGTAAAATGGCTCTGGAAGTACATTCACAATGGGTATCATTGTTTGATAAGGGTACAAGTTATATAGTAGTGTTGTGTATTGTAAACTATATTATAAAATGACTTTGTTCCTGGATGTACATTCACAATGGTCTCATTGTTTTGACAAGGGTACAAATTATGTTGTATTGTTATGTATTTTTAAACTGTATCATATGTAACACTTCTACTTTATACAACTGGAATTAACAATATTTTACATCATTTGCAGTGATGTCTTTGTCCAACGGAAATACAGTTAACTTTTTGCAATTTACAAACCAATCCTAATTCCAACTCAGGTGTTACAAAATTCAAAAGTCATAATGACACATTATAATACTAACAAAATGAACATAACAACCATTTTTTAATTGCTTCACTCCTTGCTAATCTGGGAGTCATCTAACTTCTTCAAATTTATCATATCTAAGGATAAAGGCAATCAACTCTAATATCAATATACGGAACATATGTCATAGAAAATAATATGTAAGACAAATAAATTTGTCTTGTGAGTACATAAGTTTTAGACTCAAAGAAATATTTAACAAAAAAAATTCATATCTTTATTTGGTTTTCTTTCAAAATATTTGATAACCAAAGTAACCGTTTACCCAAAAAAAACCAATTACATATCCAAGAGTTCCTTTTGACACAACTAAAACACTTTTATCCAAAACAACTGTATACAAAATTCTTATTTACAAGGTACAACATTAGTCTAATACTTTATTTCCAAACGTATGTCATAACCGAATACTTTATTCCAAGAGTGTGAGAGCATCTTCTAGGGTTTGATGTTCATCCTCAAGGAAGAAGGTGGAATTTGTGGAGACTTGGAGGCTTGCTTTGTTATGGTGTTTGGGGAACTTCTTCTTCAACAAACATCTAAGGTAATACTACATTTCCATAAGTGTAGTGCTCTCCTTAAGTTCATTTCTATTGTCCATTTAATCCACACACAAGAAGGAAGCCATGAATGATGCAAAAATCCTTGGTTTTAGTGTATTGGTTGTTCCAACTCATATCCCAATCGTCCTAATCACTTAGAAATGGTTTTGAAGGGTTAAGATCACCATAATAAAGATTTTGATCAGACCCAAACTGAGAAGAAAAGACTATCAATCAATGATCAAAATCTGTAACTGCCCAATTCTCGCAACGTGAGCACCCACTTGCCATGTCGTGACTACGAGACTTTGAATTTCTATGGTTACGTATGATTCTTGACCACGCCATGAGCATCCATTTGCCACATCGTAACGATGGGGAATTGACAGATCAAATCTTAATGGTTATTTTGATCACGACATGGACATCCTTGTGCCACAATGTGATGGCAGAAATTGATCGGGATAGAATCGCGATGAACAACACTAAGCTCACGACGTAACACCCTTTTGGTCATGGCATGAGACCTATATGGACATAATTATTTTTATTTTATGACCTTTCAGTTTTATGGGTATTCTTTTAGGTGTATTAAAGTACCTGTATGAAGGTGGTTTTCCTCTATTCATAGCTCTGTATAACTTGGACTAGAGGTAAGTCATTTCTTGTGGTGGTTTAAGCATTGGTTTGGAAAGATAGCATGCACCTATGCTTGTGTTCATGTCTAATTGATATTGTGTGATGTTATAAACTAAATGTCAAGAGTTAATTATAAGTTGGACATGTATATTTATTGATGATGCAATAGCATTTAGGAATCCTTTCTATGCTAGAATTCTTAAATTAATCATTTAGTGAAAATTGAGAGAGTTAGGACCATGCTAGAAGTGAGGATTATTTGTGTGGTTAAATTGTGATGATACGAATGTTATAGTTATGTTTTTGTTACTCACAAATGAAACTAGGATATGCATACTAGAAGTTGTTTTGTTGAAAGGTGTATCACTTTTCATGCTACTAATTGATGTTATGTAGTGTTTATGTGAATATACTTTTGATGTATGATTTTAGATGTAGTATGCCATGAATTAACTATGATAATAATTCACTAGCATGATTACATAATGATATCGGTAAGGTGTGTGTGCCTATGTGAGTGAATTAATTAATTATACCAATTAATTAATAAAGGGGAATACACATAGTGGGGATAAAAAGGGTAGTAACCTAACCTAGGTGCGTACCCTTACGAGATATCACGATGGAATGATATCGTTGGAGGAGAAATTGCTTAAGCCAATTCGAAATCGAATGGTTTTCTAGTTGACCATTTTGAGGCATGGTTGTGGTACACTTAGTGTATGAGAACTTAAGTGATGTTGGCTACTCAGAGATGCCAGATCAAGCATCATGTTTGGGTGTAGGTGTGCCCATGGAGGTACTGAATACTAACCTCGAACGACAATGCATCATGTTCGTACATGCAAAGTCGAATAAGTGAAGACGGAGAATCAGGGTCAATGTTATGGGTGGGATTCGCACCCCATTTGGTGCACTGGGTTGCCAGGTCCCGTTAGTATCGAACATGGCCTTCATTTAAGGAGTATTAGCGATTTAATAGACCCTAGTTAGTGATGGACATTATTAGTAGTTAAAGCAAAGCAAATAAATTAATAGTTACCGTGATGAAAGAATGTCCGGATTAATGTATACATATATATATTAATAATTATCGATGTATGATGCATAGATTGATGTGATTGCATGACTTGACATAGTGTATGTGTATGTTTTGTTTCCATGATTACATTCTTGAGATTGACTCATTGTGTGGATGTTGACACTTTTTTCTTGCATGTTGTTGTGGCTTTTGCATTGGTACATGTAGTTTGACGTTGATAGCCTAGTGAGTTTGGGAGCTTTTGGGTAGTTATAGTCTATTGGTTGGTAGTGATGATATCAGTTTGAGACTTGATGTGATGTTTCATTTACTCTTTGTTTTGATACTTGTTTTGGTTGGGTTTTACAACTTTGGATTTTAATGGATTATTTTTGAAAGATTTTCTAAGTATCACTGGTGATGTTTTCTTAATAAGACTTCTACTAATGTTTTCTAATATAAATTGGTTAAAAATAAAAAGAAAAAAATTGGGTGAAAAACCACGGTGTTACAAAAGTACTTGTGTAACACCCCATTTTCTCCTTACATTATAAAAGTTTTTGATAGAAGACTATTTAGGATAAATAGACTTGATGAAAGTCATAGTAATCGAAAAACCGAGAGCATGTATATAGAGAACATCCAAATGTAAAATCCCAAAATATGAAGGTAAAAATTTCATTTTTAAAGCATAATCAAAACACTCATTTATCCTTTATTCAAATATTTGGAGTATTTCGAAATAAAAAGAATTATCAGAGTTCATTCCCAAAATCTCAAATTGCAAAAGACACGGGTGTATGCGCTGCGATTAAGCCGGGCCCTTCCCTTTTGAACCGAAAGTACCTGAAACCATGAACCACAAATTGTAAGCCTAAAGTTTAGTGAGTTTGCTAAATACCACATACCATACATGTAACATCCCAATTCAAGACCAAAAATTTCATTTTTGAATTAATATTTTATAAAGCATTTTACCAAAACATTGTCAATAAAACAACACATTACAAATTCATAATGTTGTGTCTCAGCCCATGACGTCAAAAGTAATGAAAATCAGAGTACAATACCAGAAACCTAATGCGGAAACCATGTGTGTGTGTGATGCGTTGCTACATTGCCGGCTCCTTCCCCTTCGATCAAGAGGTACCTGAAACCAAACCAAAAACTGTAAGCATAAAGCTTAGTGAGTTCCCCCATCATACCATATATCATATAATATCGTCGGTATCTTTCAACTGGTAACTGCCATCGGTATCTTTCAATCGGTAACTATCATCGGTATCTTTCAACCAGTAACCGCCATCGGTATCTTTCAACCGATAATTGCCATCGGTATCTTTCAACCGTTAACTGTGGACTATTTCACCCCTACCACTAGCATACTATAAACATACAGTCAGGCATATCGGGTACTGACCTACCCCTCGGTCCTAACGACCTATGCCAGGGAAAGACTATTCCATGTCACCACCACTGAGAAAGATATCATACCACGTAGGCATATCTCATAACCAAATCACATAACCAAACCAAGATAATTATCACAAAGACAACTATCTAATAATTACCCTTGTTGGTGGGTCGGCATTGTGGCCTTAAACCCACCCCTACTAGAAGGTAACTCACCTCGATGTGGTGTAGTATCTGAACCGTCCTTTGCGTGAAGATCGACTCTCCTCGACTCCTCAATCCCTACAAAACAATTCTCAAGTCATCAAATAGAACATGCAACCCTAACCAGGGTCAATACCCTAACCAGCCAAAGTCAACATCCAGTTGACCTGACTCGCCGAGTTGGCCCGCTGAGTCCATACTCCACTAATCTGATACAACCTCGACGCCACTCGTCGAGTCTAGCAAGAACTCGTCGAGTTTTCCTTCATTCAAACCATCGGGACCATCTCCATCTGACTTGTCGAGTTCTTCCTTCAACTCGGAGAGTTCATCTCCCTCATAAGAACGTGTCCAGTCTATGACTCGCTGAGTTGTAGAACAGCTCGTCAAGTCCATCTTCAAAGGTTGGGATATTTCCTTGGACTCGTCGAGTCTATTCATACACTCGTCGAGTCCCATGATTCCCAGGTCCCTTTACAAGTCTAAACATTTATGGGACTTCATTCCCGAACCACTGGTCCAACCTCAGAAAGGATTTAGTGGTCATTACACACCGACTTGCTGAGTTCCAAGAGCAACTCGTTGAGTCCCTTCTTGACCCTTACTATACAGTCGATTTAAATGGGTCTTAACACATCAAAATCATAGATTTGGCCTCCTAATGTCCATTTTATACGTAAAGTTCCAAACTTGGTGCACATGCATGGGGTTTTTGGCT